CCTTTTATTTTACTTCTTTTTCCCCTTCTCAACTTTTTGGAAGGTTTGTCCGACATACTGCCTTTTTTTCAGTGGTTATCATAGAATGTGTGTTACCACTTCTAAGTTAAAGTCTGAAATTACTCAATATTATTGCCCTCTCTCCCCAAATAGCTAGTTATTGCCTGCTATTTGAATTCTCTCTTTTCCACCACAAATTATACATTATTTTAATTTTTTTTACAATTAACATTTGTTTAGATTTCATCACATTTTACCATATCTGTGCTTACTATTCCTTTTTATATTCCAGTTCTTTCTGGGATACTTTTCTTTCTGCCTAAAGTGAATTCTTTGAAATTTCCGTTAGGGAAGATTCGGTGTTGGTAAATTTCTTATGTGTGAAAATATATTTTGCCTTATTCTTGAAATGTTGTTTCCTAGGTTCAGATAGTATTTTCTCTTGGCATGTTCGAAGGTATTATTCCCCTGTTTTTACTCGCTTTCAAAGTTACTGCTAAGAAGTTAGCCATCTAAGATTGTTCCTTTAGAGATGGTCTGACTCTCCTCTGCCTGTTTTGAAGACCTTCTCTGTGTCTTTAGTATTTTGCAGTTTCACAGTGTGTGTCATGTGTGGATTTTATTTACACAGCTTGGGATTTAATGGGTGTCTTGGGTCTTTCAGGAGCTCTAGAGCAGTGCAGTTCAGTAGAACTTTCTGTGATGCTGCAAATGTTCTCTGTGCAGTCCTATATGGTAGCCACCTGCCACATGTGGCCAATAAGGACTTGAAATGTGGTCATTGTGACTGAGGAACTTTGTTTTGATTCTTAATTTAACCCTTTGCGGTCGTATTAAATTTGGACATGGGTGTCGTACTGGTCGGAATTAATTTCCATTGAAAGAGCAGTGATACATAACATGCAAGATTATGAAGGATAAACAAGATTTATTAATTCTTTTTTGGAACTACGTCACTACTAGTAGAATCACTACAAACGTTATCACTTTCTACGTCAGAGTCAGTATTCAAGGTGCCAAAATAAAACTCTTCATCGTTACTTTCAGATTCGCAGTACACTTCTTTCGGTAACTTTCTTTTTGCCATTTTGGAGTATTATTTTGAAATATCTTAACAAGCGAGAATGCCTAATTACAGTTAAACGTAATTTGTAAAGCTTTATTTGAAATTCTGCGAAGTATCTCCGAAGCTTGTCGATTTCTTCACTCTCAAAAGGCGACTGACTCGCCACGGTGTTTTGCATGGCGAGTGTGGAACGAACCACGTTTGTTTATATTGAGTTTCGATATCTCCGATTTGTCGGGGCAATGTTTTGGTTCGTGACAAGGTCGCTTAGACACTTAAGAGCTTTCAGAGAAATTATGAACTGATACATGAATGAATAGAGTTAAGATTCGTACGGTTCCTTGCTGTGGTGGCTGAGAGCAGACATACGACCGGAACGGTAAAAAAGCTTTGGTGGCTGAGAGTAGACAAACGACCGCAAAGGGTTAAATAGCCACGTGTGGCTAATGGCTACTGTATTGGGGATCACAGTCGTAGAAAATTCCCAGTGATTATTATTTCATGAATGTTGCCTCGCTCCTATTCTCTTTTTTCTGGAACTCTAATTAGCATGAAAATGTCCAACAGACATAATTTCTTAACTCTCAACCTGTTATGTTTTCTTTGTGTTGCATTCTGGATACAGTAAACCCTTGATTTTGCAGATCTCAATTTAATGGACTTCAGGTTTAATGGACAAAATTTCCGGTCCATATGTCTGTCATATGTGGAAATTAACATCCTGTTAATTTTGAAATGCTTTTAACCAAGATTAGCTTATAACTAAATTAGCAGGGTTTTTTTTTGTTACCAACTCTGTTATTTTTAACAAATTTTAGCAAATAGGCCATATGTTGGAGAAAATACTGTAGTAACTTCACTGACATAAATTATTATTACATATCTACACCTATAGTCTACATATTTAAATCCAAGAGTCTACACTTATAAACGATGTTTGACAGATGATTAGCACGTGATCGTATTGCATCGCACTAGACTTTCTGCAGCAGTTTTAAAGTGTGCTGGCTGGTTTTCTGAC